GTCCATGAATACAGAGGCAAAGAAAGCATTGAGTACTTCAGCTTTCCCCACATCATCTGTCACTAGGTTACCTCCTTCATCAATTAGGGGCCGCACACCCTCTCTGATCACCTTCTTCTTGTTAACATGCCTGTAGAAACCTTTCTTGTTATCCTTCACATCCTTAGCCAGTCGCAATTCCATTTGCGCTTTCGCCTTCCTGATAACCCCCCAGCATTCTCGAGCTATACCTTTAAACTCCTCCCTAGTCATTTGTCCAAGTTTCCACTTTGTGTAAGCTTCCTTTTTGTGCTTAAGTTCACCAAGGATTTCCCCTGTAAGCCAATCCGGTCTCCTACCATGTTTGCCTCTCTTTCTATGCGTTGGGGTGGTTTCTTTCTGTGCCTTCAATAAGGCTTCTTTAAAATACTGCCAGCTGTCCTGGACTCCTTTCCCCTTCATGTTAACATCGCAGGGGATTCTGCCCATCAGATCTCGGAGGGAGTCAAAATCTGCTTTTTGTTTTTTATAAAACAGTCTTGGGCATTAGGAAATTTTTTTGAGCAGAGATTTTTCAAGTATATGTGAGTGTGAGGGGTGGGGGGTGGTGGTGGTGGTGGGGAGGCATTAGGTCATAACTGTGCTGAAATCAGCAGGGAGATCTGTCTAGCAGAGTGTAAGAACATGAGAGAATGGCCATACTAGGTAAGACCAAAGGTCCATCTAGCCCAGTATCCTGTCTGCTGACAGTGGCCAATACCAGATGCCCCAGAGGGAGGGATCACAACAGGTAATCCTCACGGGATCCCTCTCTTGTCATCCATTTCCAGACAAATGGAGGCTAGAGACACTATTCCAACCCATCCTGGCTAATAGCCACTGATGTACCTAACTTCCATGAATCTATCTATCCAGTTTTTTTCTGAACCCTGTTAGTTTAGCCTTCACTGCATCCTCTGGCAAGGAGTTCTACAGGTTAACTGTGCACAGAGTGAAGAAAAACTTCCTTTGTTTGGGTTTTTAAACCTGCTGCCTCTTAATTTCATTTGGTGACCCCTAGTTCTTACATTGTGGGAATAAGTAAATAACTTTTCCTTATTTACCTTTTCCATACCAGTCATGATTGTATAGACCTCTATCATATCCCCCCTTAGTCTCCTCTTTTCTAAGCTGAAAAGCCCAAGTCTTTTCATCTCTCTTCATATGGGACCCATTTTAAACCCTTAATTTTTGTTGCCGTTTTCTGAACCTTTTCCAATGCCAGTATATCTTTTTGAGATGAAGTGACCACATCTGTATGCAGTATTTAAGATGAGGACATACCATGGTTTTATATAGAGGCAATGAGATATTTTCTGTCTTACTCTCTCTTTTTTAATGACTCCTAACATTCTATTTGCTGTTTTCACTGCCGCTGCACAATGAATGGGTGTTTTCAGAGAACTGTCCACAATGACTCTAAGATCTGTCTTGAGTAGTTGTAGCCAAATTAGTCCCCATCATATTGTGTATGTATAATTGGAATTTTTTTCCAATGTACATGACTTTACATTTATCAACATTAACTTCCATTTGCCATTTTGTTGCCCAATCACTTAATTCAGTGAGATCTTTTTGAAGCTCTTCACAGTCTGCTTTGGTCTTAACTATCTTGAGCAGTTTGGTATCATCTGCCAATTTTTTCCACCTCACTGTTTACCCCTTTCTCTAGATCTTTTATAAATAAATGGAATAAGATGGGTCCTATGACAGACCCTTGGGGGACCCCACTAGTTACCTCTCTCCACTCGGGAAACTTACCATTTATTCCTACCCTTTGTTTTCTGTCTTTTAACCAGTTCTCAATCCATGAAAGGAACTTCCCTCTTATCCCATGACAACTTATCTTACTTAAGAGCCTTTGATGAGGGATCTTGTCAAAGAAGTATACTATATCCACTGGATCCCCCTTGTCCACATGTTTGTTGACCCCCTCAAAGAACTCTAGCAGATTAGTAAGGCATGGTTTCCCTTTACAGAAACCATGCTGACTTCCCCTGACAAATTATATTCATCCATGTGTCTGACAATTTTATTCATTACTATAGTTTCAATTAATTTGCCCAGTACTGACATCAGACTTACAAGTCTGTAATTGCCAGGATCGCCTCTAGAGCCATTTTTAAATATTGGCGTCATGTTAGCTATCTTCCCATCATTAGGTATGGAAGCTGATTTAAAGGATAGGTTACAAACCACAGTTAATAGTTCTGCAATTTCCCATTTGAGTTCTTTCAGAACTCTTGAGTGAATGCCATCTGGTACTGGTGATTTGGGGTCAGAGTTCTGTGTGGGCTCTCTTAGCTACTGGGGCCAATCTCCCAGTCCATCTTGCTTTTCCATTGTTGCAGCAGCCACCAAGTGGCAGTTACTACCTCTGTTGAGGAGGCTAGCAAGAGGCTGCATCTGGTGAATGCTGACCTCTGCCACCTCCTGAACCCATCGGTATTTCAGAGTGGCTCAGGGACAGAGAGCCCCGTCTGCCACAGAGACCCCACATAGGGAAGTGGATGGGGCCACATTGAAGTTGTCCAGGTTCAGGAGGGAGCTGGGCCAGTTATACCAGATGCAGCCTTCTACTCTGATCTTGGACTTTCAGTGTGGCCCTATTAAGTTCCCTTGTTGGGGAGCAGTGAGACACACACCTTCCTCCTGCGGGCCTTGCTTCTCCTCCCTCCCCCCGGTACACTTGGTCCCAAGGGTACCAGGCCCACACTCCTGACCTGTCTCTTAGAAGAAGGGGGGAGGGGCTTTCATGGACATGAATCTTGGGAGAGGAGTCAACAACAAGAAGGGAACTCTGGTGCTAGTGTCCTGCTCAAGACAAAGAACTGCCTTGGAACCGAGCTATCGACTGTTTAATTATCACGTGGACAGTTGCCAGAGATGGACAGAAGGGTCTCCCATGTAAGAAAATAAGGTCTAAACTTACATTCCTGTTGTAACAGAATGTAAATATAGGAGCAATTCCATGAACTCAGAAATAGAAAATACTGGAACTGTTAGCCAGATAACCCAGTTCCTTTCCAGTTTGGTTTTACCACCTATTCAGGTGTAAGATGTAATTAATATTTAGAAGTTGGAATTTCCCTATTTAAGACTGAATTGCAGTTTGTTATAACATGCACTTTTTAATGGGATTTTAATGTGGAAGAATTGACTTGCTTTGGGCTGAAACATACCGTTGAGTTTTTCAGCTGAGGAGTACTTAAGGCTCTAATTTTTAAAGCATGATGTGGAAAAATGTATTTAAAGGGGTGGGTTTTATGTAACTTAAGCATTCCTTGGTCTTTTTTTTTTCTCTTTTTATTGTTACTATTGGCTGACTCTAGTGTTTCACTCATAGTGCTCTGTGAAAAGCTGCATCACTGCCTTTCATGTCACCTGTGCCTTTGAGCATAGCCTAGAGATGAAGGCCATTTTGGACGATGGGGATGAGGTCAAGTTCAAATCGTACTGCCTAAAGCATAGCAAAAACAAGCAGAATTCGGTGCCTGACGTTGATGAGAACCCCAAGAGCATGGCAGACCAGAAGCAAACCGAGAGTGAGAAAACTAGTTTGCGTGCCCAGAAACTGAGAGAGCTGGAGGAGGAATTCTACTCGTTAGTTAAAGTGGAAGATGTTGCAGCAGAACTGGGCCTTCCTAAAATTGCTGTGGACTTCATTTATAATTACTGGAAATTAAAGCGGAAAAGTAATCTTAACAAACCATTGTTTCCTCCCAAGGAGGATGAAGAAAATGGCTTGGTGCAGCCAAAGGAAGACAGCATTCATACCCGCATGAGGATGTTCATGCACTTGAGGCAGGATCTAGAGAGGGTAAGATTTGCACAGTAGAGATTTGACTACATACTTATAGTGCTTTTACATTTCCTGTAATGCTTTTTTTTCAACTTTATTCTTATAAAATCAGAAGTGGCGAGCTAGGTTCTTGCCTTAAACGCAGTGCTTTACATTTCCTGTAATGCTTTTTTTCAACTTTATTCTTATAAAATCAGAAGTGGGCTTTTTCTGAAAAGTCTCTTGACATCAGAGTCTGAACTAATGTGTAACCTTCTGCCAGAAACAATTGTGACATTGATTACAGCAATACTTTAAAATCTTTTTAACATGAAATTATTCAAAATGATTTTTTTTCACATGTTGACGTTTTAAAATGTCTAAAATGAGAATTAGAAGTTTTCTGAACGTATTGACAATTTTAATGGAATTTTTTAACATATTGTCTTATTTTGTGACTTTAAAAATGTTGGCATTTGATGGGACAAATTCTGATTTTTGAACAGGTCTAATTGTGCACCATGGGAAACACTGTGTTCAACAAAATGTATGACTCTCTGTCAAGAGATTTAGTACCTGATTCTGCTACTGTTACATTGGGTAGACATATATCTTAAATTAGTGAATGAAAGCAGAGTGCTGTAACACCTGAAATAAACTTAAAAATAATTATCCTTCACTTGAAGCTTACTTTAAAACTCATGATATCACCATGTCAGTAAGGTTTCCTAGCATATTACGTGTGCTATTAAGAAAAGCTATTGTATATTTTTGGAAAATGTATTACTTTACTGGAGCAATGTACCAGCCGGTGATGTGAATAGGCAAAGTAGTGTGGGATTTAAGAACAAAAAAATGTGAGTTCTAAAATCTGCTTAATGTCTTTTCTTTTTTTTAACCTGCTTATTTGTTCAGTTATTGCCAGTTTGGGAATTTGACCAATTGATTTTCAGATCACTTTTAACATAATCTTTAATGGTTTTTAAAAATCCTTGAAACTGAAAATACTTTATAATTGCATGTTATACAATAGTTGCTCTATTATAGGGCTTTACATGTACGAAGGTATTTTGTTCAAGAATTTGAATGTTAACGTAATATTCTTAACCACTTTTAAAAGAGAAAATTCTAAATTTCTTGTCGTTTTGTGTAGGTAAGGAATCTCTGCTACATGGTGAGTAGAAGAGAGAAACTAAAACTGTCCCACAGTAAAGTACATGAACAAGTCTTCAATTTGCAAGTCCAGCTCATTAATCAGGAAATTGCTGCAGGTAATCTATACGTATAAGATTATAGTAATTATATCTGCTAAAGATTCTGGCCTCTGCCTGGTCCATGTCACCATTATTATTTTAAACTCAGAAAACCTGTATATTTAATGAGTTTTTGTGAGTATGCACCCAATAGCCCATTTTCTTAAATAACAGCACATGCACAGAATTTTCATCTTCAGAGTCATACTTCGGTTTTTCAATCCTGTCCTAGATATTTATGGGGTACCATATACAGATGAGATACCAATTACTGTGGCATCTAGGCACCACAGCTGTATTACTGGTATCTGTGTCAGGTAGGATGTAGGATTTTTTCTTTGGGTTACTATTCTGTATTCCCACTTTCCCCACAGTGGCTACATATAGCACACCACAGTTTGTCTCTTTCTCCAGTTTAAGGACGATAACTAATTTATGGTTGGTAATTATTTCCTTCAGACAGAGATGGGGAGAATAACTGACAAATTCACACTATTCTCATGTCTCATATGTCATTTTATGTTGCAAACACATTTCTCAGTTAGAGATCTGTCATTTCTTTCCACACCATATAATGGTTTATGAAGTTAAAAATGGATAGTTGCTGCCTTAGAACTCATGTTCCAAAAACAGTTCTGTGCCTTATTTAACTAGTAAATATCATGAAACAAGACTGATGGAATAAGGCAGAGTATGTACTCCAGTGTAATTTATTTTTAATTGAATACAGAGGTCGTGCGTATTTGTAACACAGTCTGTAATAGTTGAAAACATGTTTTATTTTAAAGACTACGTTACACTATACATCTGAAGTAAATTGTCCTTACAGAATAGAAATATTACATGTTTACATACATTCTGTTTGGGTACTTTGGGCCAATTTAATTTTTAGTTCATGCCTAACTGCATCTTGTAGTAATTGGAAAATTAATTGAAAACAACCCTTAATGTGTACATGCATTTTTTGGCAAGAAAACTATTAACTAAGTTTAATGAAAGTCTTACCACCTTTTAAATACATCCCTGTCTGTTTTTTCTTTTAGGCCACTCTCTGACAAGTGCAGTAGAGAACACGCTGTTCTACCCACCTCCCAGAATCACCTTGAAATTAAAAATGCCTAAGTCAGCACTGGGAGACTGCAAAAATAACTCTCTGAAACCTGGCAATAGACCCCTTTCTCCTGACAACACCCCAGTTTACAACAAAAGGAGTATGCAGATGTCAAAGGAGTCATATGAAATAAAAGCAAAATCATATTCAAGGTATCAGCATGACAGCCGAAGTAATGGGTTATTGGCAGGGATTGGCAAGACTAGGAATGAAATAAAAGACTCTGGGCCAGCCCAATTACCAGAGTTTCATCGTGGGCAGCCATCTGGTAAACCATTAGCACTTCAAGCTGCATTGCATGGACAGTCTTCAATTGGGAATGGAAAAATGCAGCAAGAGAACTCAAGACTAGCCAAGTCCAACGGTTTAATGGGCAGGGCTGGAGATGTAACTCAGAGAGACAGGTCCAGTCAGACATCATATGAACAAGAATCTGTGCTCACTGCTCATTTGGCTAGTCAAAGCAATTTTAGAAAATCTACAATAGAACATTTTAGCAGGTCTTTTAAAGAGGCCACCAACAGTTTGGTTAGGACCACAGAAGATCTGAGGTGCTGTGAAAAACCAAGGAGGCTTTCAACAAAGGAACGTTTGTGGAGCAAGCAGACTCTTGAATACCAGACAGGAGGAGCACCATACCAGGACAATGATGGGTATTGCCCTGATTTAGAGCTAAGTGACTCTGAAGCTGAAAGTGATGAGAATAAAGAACAAGTCAGATTAAGGAGAAGCAGCTCAGAGAGAGAAAGCCAAAGTAAGGACTTTGGTAGAGATTGTCACAATAGAAACAAAAAAAATGTGATTTCTCACAGTTCAGTACAAAGGTGATTATAAAGCCCAAAGGGTAACTCAACCTTTGCATAATGCATCAGTATCAGTGCAAACCTAGGCATCAGAGGGTTTCCGAAAACAGTGCAGGACCTACATTAGGAAGAAATACAGTGAAAAAGAGTAGTTCTCATTAGTGAATTGGCTTGTGATTTTTAAAGAGATAGTCAAGGTTACGTATAGAAATCAGTGTGCTATATTAAAGTTTAACATCAGAGAGTATGGAATAGTTTGCAAAACTCCAGGAGCTGCTGCCTTTTTTTACCTGATTTTGTGTAAGGCATTGTTTAAAATGTCAGTTTTGTGCTGCTGGGCAGGTATTAAAGGACTACTTGCATTGCTCTATAACAAGCTGTCAAAGACTTAATACACAAACACTGAAACTGCATTCCTATTGCACCTACAATATCAACCTGATCAGCAAAAACTTAAGCATGTGCTTAAAACTTTAGGCATATGAATAGTTCCATTGATTCAATGGGAGTACTCTCACACTTTATATTTAAAGCACATGCTTAAATTTTCTGTTGGATTGTGGTCCAAGTGACTACTAACCTTTCTGCGGAACAGGATGTCCATTTTAGAACTCCAGTGTTGCTTGTAACCCTCTGCAGGGTAGAAGCAAGCATCACATATGCTGCCAAACTCACTGACCTCTAGATGTGCCCCATATACTTTGCTCCAGCTAAAGGTTGTGTTTCTCTTGACAGTAATTCACTTTATTTTGTAAATATTCAACTTATAAAACTTCAGTTTTTTATCTTTGTACATAGTTGCTTGTTGTGGGATGCACTTGTAAATATTTTACCCAGCTAACAAGTACAGATGACTAAATTTGTGGATAGTGTTTACAACAGTAGATGTACTACTTCAAAGAAAAATGCTATTTGACACTTACATTTTAGGCAATCATTGATGATGCTTGGTTCCTCTTGAAACATGAGTTTTCACATATGGAGGCATTTATACCTGGTATGTTAAAAATAAGCTTGAACTAAATCATTTTATCTGACTTTAAAAAAAGGCCAAAATTTCCAAACCTAGAAGACTAAATAGGGGTTTAGGAGTTTAACTTTAGGCTCATAGATTTGAAAAACTTTAGTTGATCATTATTTGAAGCACATTTTTATTGCTAGATAAATCTGGACGCCTATGTAAGACACATGACTACATTAACCTGCTTAGCCCCCTCTAATTAGTTGCTCTTTCCCAAACTAAAAGTGCTTTGTACAAGTTTTAAAACATGCAAATACTAATATAACTTTCACACTATCAGTCCCATTTTGTTCTTTACTACATGTGGTTTGTTTGAAGAAAACTAAAATTCTCATTTTCTTAAGCTGCTCTGTTAAACCAAGAGTAATTCTATTGTGCGTCTGATGAAATGACATTTCAGTCACAAATGAGCAAAGCCCATTGTCCCACATCAAGGGCTGAAATGGAGCATAGGTATTGCAGAGGGCCTTTTATTATAGCTCCCTTTGCTTGGGGTGAATTTCATCCAAAAGGAAAATGCTAAACTCCCCATGTAAAGATATTTAGCAGAATACAAATAATACTTTGATTTTCAGCAAATCTTTTTATCTTATTGCTCTTAGTTTGGGAAACTACAACAAGTACTTCATATTATTAAACTTTGAAATGTTCCTCCCAATAGTTACTGGCCAGGGACTAGAGAACACTTCAGTAGTGAAATAAAAAATAAACCTTGCAGTTTTTCCTCTTTGCTTCATGAATCCTTAATTTTCTTTCCTTTCTTGATTTTCTGTATATTTGTGTAATTTGTCTTTGTAGAGACGTATTTTCAGATTTCTTTTGGTGTAAATATGCAGTAGCATTTTTAGGTTTCCATATATTTTAACAGGAAGTACTTTTTGTTCCTAAGCCATGGGTCATTCAGAATAAGTAAACTCATTTGTATTCTAGCTCTGATTCTTAGTTCTCCTTCAATATTTATTATTAATCCTTTTTTTCTGGCCACAAAATTGAGGAGCTTGTCTTGGGAACATTTATCTTGGAGGCCAGCAGAACAATCATGGAGGAAAATGGTGCTTCAGCAAAAATTCACGGTTTTGCTTTTTTGGGGATGTAACTCTTTCCAGTCTGGGCAATAGTTTTGCCATTTTAACATGATTTTAATAGATACATGAAGGAGCCCTTGGTTATTGTAGTTCTTAAATATAGTCCCCAAAGTGTACTTGCTAGTTTTTACTGTGTTCGGTGGCTAACTGTTTGAAGTATTACCTCTTACCCTTATTTGTTAATTTTGTTTTTTGCATTTTGTTTTTATATACAGCTATACACACACTCACACAATTTTCCAAGATGGACTCGGTCTTTTTCAGATGTCCCCTTTTTACAAGTACTTTTTTCATTAAATTATGAAACTGCTAACAGTCTCTTCATTTGTTGTGATTTATTCAGGGCTTTATCTTTTGTATGGTAGTCTGCTAAACTAATCAGTTTAACAAAAGTGATTTCACAACTGTCAAGTGCAGATTAATATTTTTGCATACTCAGCACTGTTTCCTGCCCAATTTCCTGAAAAAGGAACTCCAAAGATGGTAACTGGACAGAATACTTAGTTTATTAAGTTAAAAATGGATACTTGGGATACTGACTTCATACAGACCTATCCGATAAATAGTTAACTTTTTTATTTTTTAAGACTGTTGATTATTCAGTTAACTCGCGCAATTAACTCAAAATCATGACTAAAATTAATCGTGATTATTAAACAATAGAATGCAAATTGAAATGTAATATTTTTGGATATTTTTCTACATTTTCAAATATATTGATTTGTTACAACACTACAATGTACAGTGCACACTATTTTATTATAAATATTTGCACTGCAAAAACAATAAATAGTATTGTTCAGTTCACAGTATACAAGTACTATAGGGCAATCTCTTTATCATGAAAGGATACAACTGTATCCTTACAAATGTAGGGTTTTTATATAACTGCACTAAAAAATAAAACTTCAAGACTCTACAGGCCCATTCAGTCCTCCTGCTTGGCTGAACAAGGAGTAAGAGAAACAAGTTTGTTTTACATTTATGGTAGATAATGGTACCCACTTCTTAATTACAGTGTCATGTGAAAGTGAAAACAGGCATTCACAACACTATTGTTGTTGACTTTGTAAGATATTTACGTGCCAAATGTGCTAAAGATTCATATTTCTCTTCATGCTATGGCCATCATTCCAGGGGACATGCTTCCATGCTGATGATGCTTATTTAAAAAAAAAAAAGTTAATCACATTTGTGACTCGACTCCTTAGGGAAGAATTGTATGTCTTCTACTTTATTTTACTCGCATTCAGCTATACATTTCATGTTACAGCAGTGTCGGACAGTGACCCTACAAATGTTCATTTAAGAACACTTCCACTGCAGATATGACAATTTAAAAAAAATGTGAAATTACAAAAAATAGCTGCAACACTTGACCCAAGGTTTAAGAATCTGAAGTGCCTTCCAAAATCTGAGACAGATGAGGTATAGAACATGCTTTCAGAAGTCTTAAGAGCAGAACTGTCTGCTGTAGAAACTACAGAACCAAAATCACCAACAAATCAGTATATTTGAACGTAAAAAAAATCCACAGTATTTAAATGGGTATTCTGCTGTTAAACAGCATGATTACTCACAATTTGTAATTGTGTGATTAATTGTTTAAATCTCTCGACAGCCCTAATTTTTATTATTGGCATCAAAATAAACATACCAGCAGCTTACCCCACAAATCTTAACGTTTGTGTTCCTCCTTTGTGGAAAATAACCTGCATTTTTGCCTGACTGGGTACAACTAAATATGAGGAAAAATGTAAATAGGCTGTGTATGTTTATTCACAAATGGACATGGTTCTGCTGTGGTATAGTACAAATGAGGTGGGTGGTTTAGAGATTAATGGAGCTAAGCCACATCTGGGGGTGGGAGAGAGCAGTTGTGATGTAGAGCACCTGCAGTACCACTTGCTTCCTGTGCCTAGAGATGCCATACACCTGGCTAATGGAATATAATTGTGTAGTTGATTAACTATAGCATTAACCTATAAGCTTGTGCTTATAAGACTACACTCATTCTGCCCCTCCCCCCATTGCCAATAAATGTTTTAGCAGCCTGGCTTAGTCCCCGCTCATGCTGGATCCGGGCCCTACCCTCACTGCAGCTCTGCATTTAAAGTGTACTAGGAGCCAGGTGGGCAGACAGTCTGGCTCTGTTCTGACTCAAGCCATGTCCAGTTCGGGCTCATACCCTCCTCCTGCCCTGGACAAGGGCTGCTGCCAGAGGCAGCAGCACAGGGTGACAGGTAGCTGGTTTTTAAACTGGCTCCCCTTGTGGACCAGCTCCTGCCTGGCATCCCATGCTTCTGCCTCTGATACAGAGGCAGCAGCACAAAGTGACAGGGGCCTCCTGGGGAGTGGGGTTGGAGTTCATTAGCTGCTGGCCTCATCCCCAGGAACTACAGAATAGTCAAGAAACTGATGAGAATTCAGGAGGTTAATCAACTCTTCAATTACTTATTTAATTTCCCTAGGTAAATGTTGTCACCTCCAGTTCTTCAGAAAATAATATTGTGCTTCAATTACTTGTTATTTAACTTCCCTAGGTAAATGTTGAGTCACCTCCAGTTCTTCAGAAAATAATATTGTGCAGCAGAGTCCCAGAACAGGAATATAATTTCCATGGGGCTAGCCCCTCAAAGGAAAAAGAGTAGGGCTGTTTTCTTGTCAGGAATGTGCCCTAAAAATAACCACCAGTCCGTCCTCTCTCTCTCTCTCTCTCTCTCTCTGTGTCTCAAAGGTAGAATAAATTGTTCCATTTATTCTCCCCTGACCTGGAAGAGGAAATGTACCAAAATATTCCACCCCCTCCCTACCTCTTCCAGCCCTTGTCCCACCCCCTGGTAACAATTCAGCTTCACTAGCTAGGGTTTTCCAACAGCAGTCCTCCAGGGCTTTAACCCAAGCATATATAGCTTGGTCTCACTTTTTGGAAGCTGACAGCTAGCAGCATCCAACCTTTGACTTGCTCCACTCCCAAAGACAAGAATCTGTTTCTAGCCCCTCTCTGGTCCCTAGTCTGGTGCCATTCAGGATGTTAGATATCAGTCATCAGCAGTTGTGTAGCTGTAACCATTTTTAGTAGTTACTTGGTTACTAAAATGCTTCTCGGGTGGAGCCGGGAACAAGTGCGATCCTGGAACCCCCACTCCGCTATCTGATACAATGGCAGCAGCTTGAGGTGGCTGAAGCCCCTGTCTGTGGGAGAAGGAGGGGTAGGTGGCTCAGCAGAGCCAGTACTCACAGGGAGCCAGCTTCCCCCGACCAGCGGCTCCCACTTGCCATCCCTGCTGCTTTTGTGGGAGGCAGCAAGGATGAACAGGCAGCTCTGTGGAAGCCGATGTGGGTACCTGGCTTGAGAGTCAGCTTCCCATGTGTACTGGCTCCTTCCAACACCCCCTCACTCACTGCTGCCTCTGTATCAGAGGCAGTGGTGGGGTGGGGAGAGGAACTCCAAGGGATCCCGCACAGGTGGGGAGCCAGCTTCTACCACCCCTCCCCATCCCCGCCTTCCTGATACAGAGGCAGCAAGGAGGGGAAGGTGTGTAGTCATTTGGATTGACTGATAAGCCCAGGCTTATTGGTTAAACATTTTAAATGTCTATATACTAACATCCCTACACCAGACACTGTTTTCTTCAGAGGCCACATGAGGTTTGTTGAGGATTAAACTAGGACAATCAGACTCTTTTCTAGCAAGTTGGTGGTTAATAGAAATCAGCGGAATTGCAAGTGTCAAATCTGTTTGAATCCCAAAAGGATGCCAGAAAAAGGGCCAAACCCAAAATAAATCATCACTCTCTCCTACTCCATTTGTATCCCATTCACTGATTTCATTATTGCATACACAGCATGGCTGCGTCTAGACTGGCATGATTTTGTGTATGTCCGCAAAAGAGCATCTATATTGGCAAGTGCCTTTGTGTAAAAGATTTGC